AATAAATTTATTGGTTGTAAAAATAAAGTGCCCCATTACAAGCCCCAACTTTGAGCCATTGAAAAGGCTCTTGGTGACTTAAGAAACTTTTTTTTTTTTTTTTAGGTAAAAACTTGTTATGGAGCTTAGGCTAGCCTTGAACTCACTTTGGAGCCAGGGCAGTCCCAAACTCACAGCGATCCTCCTGCCTCAGCCTCCCCAGTGCTGGGATTACAGGCATGTGCCACCACACCTGGCTTTGTAAATATTTTAAAGTCATCCTACCTAGAAGTTTCAGCTTGGTCATTCTGAACAAATAATAGCAGAAGGAAGTAGCAATAATCTACTCTTTGTTCTAATTTTAACATGTGAATAATTAACCTTCCAGGAAAAAAAATTTAAGAGCAGTTCAACCGGGAAGGGTCCAATTTAAACATGGACTAGGACAGCTGATACGGATGGCCAGCCCTGATCCACAACAGCATGAGTCACATAAAACAGGGTGCCACTTCAGTGGACCTCAGCTGCTTTCACCCTGTGGCTCCGCTCTCGGGCACTTGCACAGGGCGTAACCTTAGACTTCAGTGGGAATTTCAGTTTGTGGAAAAGGCATAAAAAAAACTGGCAATTTTGTCACACCTAACTTTGCAACCAAAAACAAGACAAAAATGCCAAGTAACTACAGATTTCATGCGCTAAAAATCAGTCTCTCCCAGGTAGAAATACTAACAATTATTCATACTTCTTAAGGTTTATATCTAGCAGTAAATATATTACTGTTCCAAATAATATAAAAGCTTTTGTTTAGCGGTATTCTTTTCAGAATAAAAGTCAGTCATTCAGACTGTCTTGTACCAATACTTTACTACCCAGAAAGGGAAACCTTTTCTGGACCCCTCAAGGAGAACCTAGTTGGAAAGTATCCCAAGAAAGCCTTCAATTAATTTCACTATACTACAGAGACCCCAGGGTATCAATATGTTTGCAACTGTCTCTGTGTACAGGTTTCCTAAAGCAATAAGGAAGAACAGGAAGGAAGAAAGAAGAGGGGGGATAAGAAATTACGATTCCCAGATGTTCCTCACTTAACGATCTGTTTTAATGTATTTGGTTGACACAGGGTCTCGCTATGCAGCTCAGACTTG